ATGTCTCAGATGTATGTCTTGGAAGACATGTCTCAGCAATAGTGTATATTTGCAAGACGTTTGTATGATTTGAGACATATGATGCATTTATCTGAAATAAATGTTAACACAAAGTATTAAATTAAGTTAAACCATAATGTTACAAACAAAGAAACAATATAATGATGCATATATGCATAATATTGACATTATAAACTATACAGACAAATACATATCTTATACCTCACACAATTACTATTACAATGTGAAAATTGGACAAACAATAGTTACAAATACACTGTAACAATATTATGTATACTAATCATAAGATATACATGATAACAAAGTATTAAGTCAATATGATTAATACAAACAGTTTAAACAATATAAACATATTTTGGATGCATTGAAAATATTATTAACATACAAAATGTTATAAACAATTAAATGTCACTTAAAAACTTGATAAAATACAATAATACAGATGTAAACAAAACAACTAATGCTACAAAACATTAGAGCCTAACATTGGATAGTTTGAAGGGCCAAGCAACAGAAAGAACACTGCTGCTAAGTACACAAAAGACAGACACATGCTAGAATGCAACCTAAAAGAAACAGGATAAGCTTGGGTGTTCTGGAAACTTGATCAGACACTTCACATATAATTAAACATCTACAACGTATGACAGATTTAATCAATCACTACAAACAGTAGAAAAATATTTATTCACAAAGAATATATTTATAATCAATACATAACAAATATCATTAACTATTTGAAGTTCAAATGATATCATAACAGTGTATTCTTAATTAACAGCCTTGCTTGAGCTTGTGCCCATCACAAAAGAATAAAATTAATAAACAGAACAGAAACAAGACACAATAGCTCAAATACTTTTGTCATCAAACGAAAGACAAATGATACTGAGCAAATAGAAATAACACATCACAATGTATGCAAATATAACAGACAAAATACACAAACTTATCTTTGCTAAATAATACCATGGATTATAATTATCCAAATAACAAACTATTCAGATGTATACATAATAATCAAACGAAATACATGAGCATACATACAACCTATTTGAGTATAAACTTGAATAACAATTAGTATAAATGCCAAAAAGAAATAATAACTAAATCGGACAAAGATAACAAATAACATCAAATGCATAAGTCCATTAGAACAATATGAAAGTATTGGACAAAACAAAATACATGCATTCACATACAAATACTTAAATGAATAATAGAATGATGAAAACATACAAACAAACTAATTAAACATGAAAGCCAATTACTCAAGGCAAACCTTCTCAAATTGAAGGGGAGTAATAACAGTATATATTCACAAAACATAAAACATAACGAATAAATCAAAACATAGCAAACAATTAAATGATGCAGAAATATTGACTACATTACTATTTAACCTTGCACATCCCACAAAACACAATTATAAAGTTATTGTAACAAATTCAAAGTGAATCTGTTGAATCTAATGAGTGAATCCATTCAATCTGATGAATCCAACAATAAAATACTTACACAGGAGATACATTCTCTGGAATCTTTGATGGTCACACTATACATAGCACTATTGAACATATTACAAACGAATATATATTATAGAGTATATATCAAAACACAGAGAAGTATGCTACATACAATAATGTTGAGCAGAAAAGTATCTCTGGTGCATATTGAACAGAACTATGTTTTCCACAACAGAACGTATGTTACATCAAAAATAACAATCATGCATCATGCAAAACTTCCAACACTTATTCCCTAACATACAGGACATAATAGCAAATAAATAATTAAATAAACAAAATAATATTTGAATGTATGACTGGGAAATAATCCAGGCAATGAAGCCAAGGAATAGCACATATTCCCAAAGCAATCTACACTAGATGCACAAAGCACTTACTAAAAATTAAAAGAAGCAACAGATGTAACAGCAATCAAAACGTTAATCCTTTCAAATAAAACAAGATAACATTGATCATAATGAACAAAAATGAGCAATACACTCAAAATAAACAAAATAAATTCATATTTCATAACAAATGCACATATATATTCAGCAAATAAAGCAAATATAATGATTAAAACAATATCAAACAGAATTTAACACAAAATAAACAATAAACGAACGAATATTACAATATATGATGAAAAATAGAACTGCAAGATACACTATTTCATCTATCTACAAAATAAAAACAACAAACACATATTATGATTGTGCAAAGCAATATATTAATCAAATAAACATTACACAACAATAATAAAAACATTATCACAACAATAAAACAATACAAACATACAAATAACATTATAGTTTGTAAAAGTCAAAGGACACATTAATCAATAACAAACACAATGCACACATATATTAATATTAAATATATCTATTGCAAAACAGTAAAACAATACAAACATATTATATGTTTAAAAACATAAATAATGTGCTTAAACAGACTTACAAACAGTCAGATGATAAAATAAAACAAATTACAACAAATAAAACCTTAATTGACCTTGATATGAAGCACTCTGACATATCATAAATGATATTATGAATTATGAACAATACAATGCTTCAATATAAAGGTATAGAACTACTATTAAATGCTTAAAAAGCATGAATACAAAATGAACACAAACAAAGATGATACATGATGAATAGAGGACATCATAATAACATCAACAGCACATTTTATGAGTATGATTCAACAGTTTCATTGCAAAAGTAAAAGTGGAAAAACTACTAGTAACACAATTCAAATGTGCAAAAATACAAATTAACAACAAACAAATTAATAACACACACATTGTTATTAAATATAGTATTAACTATACAAACGAAACAATACGAACGAATTACAATTATAATTACACTTCAAGTGTAAGAATACAAAACGAACTACATGTATAATAATACAAATATGAATGGAACGAATAACAGAACAACTGCAGAACAATACAGTATGATAAAATAAACATACTATGACACAAAACAAACAATATGACATGAAAAACAAACAAAACAAAATCATATCATATCATATTATATTGTGAACAAGAAAAACTACTATCATACAAATGATAAAACATTATAGTGACGACTATAATAGTAATAATAATAAAACTACAAATGAACAAATGCTAAAGAGATCCTGCAGCTCTCTTGGCAATAAAAATTGAACTTACAATCAGTTTATTACATTGAACATAATAATAATACATTGGACAAACGTAACACTTACAGTGGACTTAATATATGAAGCAAACGAAACATTTACATTGTGAATGTAAATGATATTAATAAAAACAACAGACAAACACATATCAAACATTATATTAGTCTGATCAACTAGTATAAGTTTGAAGGGGAGTGTTAACATTTATTTCAGATAAATGCATCATATGTCTCAAATCACACAAACGTCTCACAAATATACACTATTACTGAGACATGTCTTCTGAGACATACATCTGAGACATACAATATTAGATAGCATATATATTACTTCAATCTAAGGATGATGAAGCTCATTAAGAACTTACACACAGTCGACTCATATTGACACCTATGCACTATGAGCAGAGTCTACTGAACCCCTACTAGTGTGACTTACTCTTAGTATCCTAGTGAGCAGTGTGCAAACCTACAGAAGAATATTTTCTATCAATTAGGAAACATTGTGACCTCAACACACTAACAAGAAGGTTAGTGCCTCTGTCTACAAACTCTAACTTCTGACAACATGGAAGTACATACACTCAGTGTTCAACAAGGTTCTACTGTTTCAGTACTACAATCTGGGTTTTCCTTCACAACAAAGACTCTTACTGTCTCTACCAGAACTCATCAGTTCCAAACCAGAATACAAAGTAGAGTACATAGTGGATACTAAGCTGGTACATGGAAAACTCAAGTTCCTTATCTACTAGAAGGGATACCCAGTTGAGGAATGTACTTGGGAACCTGCTGAGAACCTTACCTATACTCTTAAGACAATCTAAGATTTCTATCAGCTTCATCCTAGTGCTCTGCACAAACTCAGCCTTACAGATTTCCAAGTCCTACTGTTCTGACCTATGCCTGAGCTACTAACCAAGCCCCATGTTCACCAATCAGGACAATTGGTTTTAGAGGGGGGGTGATGTTACAATTCTCTACTCTCATACCTTCAGTTCTGAGGGTTCTACACCCTTCTGTACTGGAACTCAGGACTTCTGTCCCTTAGGGGTACTGTCTATAAACTATATACATACTGACTCTTACTACTACCCTTCCTTACTTCATCATTCCATTCCTTTGACCACCCCTTCATTCTTTGTTCATTCTATAGTCTCTTACCCTTTGTCCATCCCTTCATTCTTTGTACCTTTATCTTTGACATTCCTTTCTTTCATTCTTCATGGCTTATCATTCTTAGTAGCTCATGCTCCCTGAGTGCTCTTGTGTAGTTTAGTATATATAGGCATACAAGATCAGACTGGTCCTGTAGTCTTGATCTTGTCTACTCTAGGTAGTCCTGTACTCTTAGGCTCACTCTATATACTCTACTCTTGTCTCACTCTCTCTCTCTGCCTGTTCTACAAGTTCTGACTATGTTCTGGTGCTTGCATTCTGTATTTCTGTTGTGTAGAATAGTTGTAGCCTGGGTCCCCTTGCTGAGCCTTCAGGTCCCCTCTACACTGTTGCTGACACTATTGTATATTAATTTATATACAATTTTAACATATTATAATAAAAGTTAAGTACTTGTATCTCACATATAATATTGTAGTAATACTGGTAGTAACATTACTTGCTTCAAAAAACAATTGTAGTATAATACAATTCTTGTATAAGTATTACATTTATATACAGTTGTTACATTTCAATTACAAGCAAAGTATAATTATAATTTTGAATTGTAATTGATATATAAGTACATTATTACATTACATTTGCTATTATTAATTACATTTGTTGCGACTTTTTCGTGATGGAGCTTCAACAAAGTAGGCTCCTGCTCGGAATTGTCAAATCGCACCTCGATAGGCTCGTATATGCCATACGGCTTGCGCCACCAAAAGCCGTACGTCAGAAGAGAGCATACAATATATCCACACGTCATCAAGCTCTAGTTCGGTAATATACAACGATTCGGCCTTGCGTGCAATAGTTTGGACCAAAACAATGAAGATCTGCAGACATGTGATGGACTTTGCAAATATATCCTTTTTGCTGCTATTGTCGATGTTACGACGCAGCCTCTCTAAATATTCTGGGGTTCCGTGTTGCTTCTACCACTCTAACTATTGATCAAAATTGGCATCTCTGCCTTTAGTGTTGATTATTCTGAATGCACCCATGTTTAGGGAGAATGTATGAACTAAGGACCATTGACTATTACTGGTGTCTCTCATTGATTGCATCTTCCTCCAAGTGAGCTGAAATTCTTTGAAAGCCAACCATAATAAAATCTCTAGGGTGACAATAGTAAGAGTTACACAATTTATAATGCAAAGTAGCTTACTACTCTCCCCCACGTCAAAGTGGATTATTTGGTATACAGCTACAAATATTACTATCAAGCACATCCAGATGATGTTAAGTGTGCTCTGAGTACTAGACCCAGACTGGAAACCTACGCGGTGCTCGGATGACGGGAATGACGTTTTGTGTCCAGAATTGAGTACAAACTGGAGGGCAGTGCCAGCGACGACACCGAATAAAAAATTTAAAAAAAGCGCAATGTGTGAAAGCCTGGGTATCTTTTGACGCCCAAACCAACGTGATAACCTTTGTAATGTTGTCTTTGACCATTGTTGAACTTTTGTAAATCTAGGCACAGTATTGGTGGACAACGCGCTCTCGTCAACCTCGTTCGCTACTGCAGTATAAGAGATTACTGTAGCACTAGAGATCCTAGAGGACCGGTCTGCTGAACGTTGGGGCATGGTAGTTGGGCGTGTGCGGCGAAGGGCGGTGGTTACTCGAGTGAAGATGGGTAGAGAAGGCACAAGGTGAGAATAGAAGAGTAAATCCAACCTGTCAGATTATATGAATGCCTTGTGAGTTGTATATGCGACCCTCCATCCGTTGCTCTCCGATGCAAGGTGCATCGGGAACATTTCTAGACACCTGTAACGCTTAACTTTCATTGCGAGATCATTGCGAAAAAGTCGGATCTATTATAATTGAATACAGTATATTTAATATATTATAAACATTTTATAAACCTTATCATGCATCTGTAAAGATTAGACTGTGATTATAATGGTAATATAAGCTATATTGATGCATTTAAAGAATTGATAAACACTATGAATGAATGCAATCCATTCAATGCATTATAATAACCTTGTATAATAAGCTAAAGTGTTATTTTTGTATCATAATCTCAAAGACAGACTAATATTTACTTTGTAAAACATTTTATATTATATGTATAAGGCATTCAAGTACTTGTAGTAATTATATCAGTGTGCTTATGAAGATATATATATGTCAGATTGCTTTTACTAAGATTTAAAGTAAATTAATGCTTTTATTTTACATCTAAATACGATATTTGAGTTGTTTTACAAGTTGGACACTATCGAAGTTTGATTATGTAATCAAGTGCCGGAGAACTTTCTGTAGTCTACTTGTCGATTTTCATGATGCAGTGCTTCAACGTGTGCCATTTACGCTCTGAAGTGTTTATTGGAATTTACTAATCGTTATTAAGTTTCATAGATCTTCGCTGTCAAAGCCAAATTCAAATTCCCTTTCGGGAAGCAAGTTGTCAGCAACCCCTACAACTTTTCGGAGGAGCTTGAGCCTTGCGCCGCGATGTTCGTTGCGTACACACCGTGCACGTCATGTTCGGTGGAACGTATCATTTGTCTCCACTGTATTAGCTTATTCTGATCGGATTCGGAACGTTGATTCTTGCGTGGGCTTCTCTGCGCGTTGTGCTGACGCGTAAGGCACTCGAGAGATCGAAGGTGAAGGATATCAAGGGCTTGATTATGTGTAAGTCTCTGTTTCTAGAACGTCTGACTCGTTGTATTTATGTGTGATACCAATGGGTTTTCCGTTAGTCCCAACAATGACAACGATGAGTGTGCGCTCGAGAAACAAATGATACGACTTTACATGAAGTCAAAAGGCGGAGTTGCAGGGAAGGACAAATTTGGTTTATGTGTTTCAGAAATGAGTCATTTTTTCGTTCGACATTCATTTCTGATTACCCTTTTGGTATTGCATCACAATTTCCCGTTTCGACGTTTCGTCTTCCCGACAAGTGTCAGAACAGGAATATATCTGTTTACATATCTCTGAGTTTCTCCATGCCATTTTCATATTGTTCAGAAAGGTCTGCCTTTGGGCTGTTTGTCATGATGTGCAATGGTGGTGGGTCAACATCGGATCCCACCTGAGGTTCATCATTTGTTACCTATTGAAATAAGTGGCTTTAGCTTCTGGTAAAATGCATAATGTACACAGGTATGCATGTGGTTTTCGAGACCTTCAGTCTACAGCCTGTAACTTACAAACTGCACTTTCAAAAGCCAAGCTTTTCACAGCAATAGTGTGGGTGTAAAGGGTAATATGATACAGAAAAAAAAAAGGAAGAACAGGGTTATCGAATGCAATTTAATACCCCATCCATCTAAACAGTCTTTCTAGATCAACGTTGTCAGACACTTTGGGATAGATTTCGGGATTGTTGTATTGCTTTTCCTCGGGCGATTCGGGGAACTCTTCATCCTCACTTTCGAGCTCCTCATTTGGATCGTATTCCACCCCGCTGAGCTCGTACCATCTAGGTTTGGTGCCCTCTGGAAGTCCGAGTCTCCTTCGCACCTTTTCCATTGCTGTATCGGAAAACTCATTGCGCTCCAATCTTCGCCTCTCATCGTCTTTGACAAACCCAACAATCATGGCAGTCTGTCCTCGATACGATCCCGGATGTACGTTGAAAAAGACACCGGTCGAAAGAGTCACTTCACCCATTAGTTTAGAGCACAGTCCGGGAGTCCGATTCTGCCAGTTGAGTTTCTTCTTCTCTGCCAATCGTCGCAGGTACTTATTCTTCATCCAGAAGCCATACACCCATTCTCGCTTATAGACACGTTCCTGCCGCGGGAGTGCTTTCCTGTGGTTTTATCAGCTTTCTGTGCATTGACAAAAGAACAAACGATTACCTCAAACGACCGAAATTACTGAGACCATGCGACTGTCGCACACAACGGATAGCTCTGTCTTGAGAGTACTGTGGCATGAATAAATGTTGGGGAGTGAGAACAAGGAGAGTGTGTGGATTCAGAATAAGACGCGCAGGGTTTTATAGCCTGGTTGTGCCACTTGACGCTTGTTGCACACATCACATGACATGCGTGAGACTTTTGGCCCTCCATTTGGGAGAGTAGCCATCGGCAGCCTGCTCACTGGACGACGTGAATGACATGGAAAAAGTCGTGGCCAATTTACAAAATTGGTCTTGCATATCAATTTATCATGGTCGTCGGGCCCAATGTGGTTCAAATTTTGCTCGTTCTCTTGGTATTGGTTAGAGATGTCCAATAGACTGTTGATTGTGGCTAGTTATGTAAATTCCAGGGTTCTAGACACAGTCAAGGCTCGACGTACCACAAAGCCACCAACGCATCTCTTGTATAAAATGGGCTGTACAGCTGAGCTTGTCGGATATCCACCTCTTATTTTGTTCGCCGGCATAGTAGCAAGCTTGTCTCATTACATATTCGCTTAAACTCACAAAGCAATGGCAGAGTACGTTGCAAGCAGACTGCATCAATCTAGGTATCTAACAGGAACTTCAGTGTACAGGATCTCCAGCTCGTACGCCTGTTCTACGAGGACAAAGAGCACTTCTCTATCGAAATCAACAAGCTCTACATTATCATGATACGTCGAAGGTCTGGAAATGAGAAACATCGCGGACACGAGTACATATGGTATTGGACGTGGGATATCACAATAAACAAGACTCTTATATGTTACGGTTCACTCACAATGGTTCCTCAACCTCGTCTAACAGGATATTTTGACGTGGCCGAAGAGGACGGAGAGGAACGCTTGAAGACTCGCATCCCAGACTTTGGTATCATTCGCCACGTTGGACCTCGAGTTGTGACTAGGGATGACGAGGAAGAGGAGGAGCCACCTTACTCAAGGTTAGTCGGTGTTGGAGAGATCAAACCTGCTCCTGTTGACGGGTCAACAAACCAAATCGAACTTGCAGTTTCAGAAGCAACTTCCTCGCTTCGAGCACAACTTGGGATCTTGTTTATTGCCTATCCTGAGATAAGTGACATTGTTGGCATCTCCATTGCTGGAGAATACTGGACATTTGAGACTATGCGATACGAAGATTTCGAGGACGCTCTTTATAGTGACGACTCGAATGCCTCCTACATGCCCAGTGACGAGCCATCTTCCGACCCTTTAAATATCACTGGTCCTTGGCACTCTTCCTCAGATCCACCAGACGAACCTGGTAGTGATGGACTTCCTCAACACTCAATTTACCGTTTGCAGACATCTGAAAGCAATGCTGCAATTAACCACATGATTGATGATATTAAAAACTTAAGTGCCTGTGGAAGGTTTGAGGGTGCCCCTTTCTGAAATGTAAGTACAGGTAGTTTTGTTTGCTAACGCAGCGTAACTAAAATAATGTTTCCAGGGTAGGGAGATATAGTATCATGTACCAACGTACCTGGTTTGAGCTCTTTCTTTATTTCAAATTGTTTAGCATTGACGCTATGTTCATGTCAAAATGGAATACCCCATGTACTGTTTGATGAATAAATCTGATGATTCAAGACGTGGGTTTGTATGTAATAAAGTGTTAGAATGACATAGAGGATTGGTAGCTGTTATAGTCACAGTACGACTAACGCCTCGATCAAGTCAGCCACCATGTCGATCAACCCAGACGAGTCGCTCCGTTCGCTGTAACCACAGATACGTACAGAATCGTCGACTAACATCCTATTCTCTTAGATATAATGAGTCCAATGCATTTAGGCACACGACGCAAATTCTCAAGCAATCATCTCCCAAATCTTCCAGGTCCAGCCTCAGCTCCCTTTCGTTCTAGCCGCACGACGGACATCATCTTCTACATCCCTTTCGTCTTCCTCGTGTTTGTCTACATACAAGTCAACCGTCTTTATGTCCACCAAGTCACGGAAGCCACGTTTCGACTCCGGTGGAGGTAGATTAGGCGCTGGTATAGATACATCGAAGTCCGGGATATATCGTGTGGTGCTCGCAACACGAGGACGATGATGTTCCGGACGAAGGCCCGTCGATGTCGGACAATGAACCACACGAGCGTCATTAGCGACATCACGGGAAGCTCAAGGTATAACGAAACAAAATCAACCGGCGAGAAGATCGGGTAAAAGAATGTCCAGCCTTGGACTGTGAAAGTACAAAGAGATGGCGTCTAGATAAGTGAAATTCTGGAAGAGAATGTGAAGAAAAGAGACGTACAGAGGATAACAAGTGATACAGCAGTCACAGCAAAGGTGCGCCCCAAAACCATATTCAGCCTGCACGGTACTTCATTTCAGAAAGCGGTCTGCCTTGTGCAATCCATGCCTTTCGGAATCGCCAACTAGCAATGCTAATACAGAGCCAGGCAATCTGGGTCGTAAGTAGTGGCCAATACATGTTCTAGACAGCGGTATGAAGAAGACGAAGAAGGGGACAATTCAATTCGGGACTAAAAACGCATGAAATTCTGACGAACCTGATTCATTACTTTGACGATATTCTGCAACCATCCTAATAGCATCCAAGATCCAACGGAGGAACTCGCGAAACACAGTGCGCTAATACTTGCAGTACCGAGAAGCACTCGCAAGGGAACATTATAAGAGGTAGTATGCGAAAAAGAACGAGGAGCGAGGCGGGGAGACGACGTCGACAACGGATACAAAATACCTAGGCAAATATCGTTCGAGTGTAACTACAGAGAACTTAACAATCGATGAGCAACATGTTCCGGCGTACGCATAATTCCCAGCAGAAAGGACAGACGTGAGGATGACAGTATTCATGAATGAAGCGGCAACATCTAGGTACCACAGTGTCTTAACACGTGAATTTATAAATAAAAATAATATATGCGTACTAGATCCCACCTCGCCAAAAACGATTGAAACGGCCAAGTCGTCGTAGAGCGATTTGATAGCTTCGGATAAGTGTACAAAACTATATTCCAAGGGTTAGCTACGCGAAACGAACTAAAGTGAATAAATTTACCATTTAGGCTGATCATTAGGATGGACAAGATATAGAAAAGTAAAATTCGCCAAAATATGACGCGGACGACACGAGGCATGTTCTTCGTCGGGCTCTTCGTTTCGCCAGCAGTAATATCAAGACTTTCGGTCCCACCGCACGCGAAACTCGCAGTCACGAAAACGTGTGCAAAGCCAGCACCACCGTCAACGAAAGGTGCCCCGGATATTCGCCAATTGCGTCCACGAATCGGAGTACGTCCTCTATTGACACCTGCATTGGCGAGTGCAACGGCAATAATGTGTGCGATTATGGTGCAGGTCTTTAGGGACGATAAAATATATTCAAGGTGGCAACCATATAAGATATAGCAATTAAAAAGGTGAAATGACCTGACGCAGTCATTTCCCCATACGAACGCACATTCAACGCGTTAATCGATAGCAAGGATATCAGAAAATGGCGGAAATACCCCAAGGATGCCAGTCCGTCCAGAATTGGAGTACGAGTTGGGCGGCCGTAAGGTCAGACGCTACCGAAACAGCATCGTTGAACCAGTAAAATTCCAACTGAGAGCAAAAGCATATGATAGGGAGAAGAAGCGCGTCGTGTAGACAGTGAACGAACCTATGACCGGATTTTGACTACTGGGCTCTCGCAAAGGCGGAAGGCGATATAGACAGTAAATCCAATCATGCCGCAGCATATAATGATGCTGGAGATATGATAAGGTATTTACTTAGCGGGAACCGCCTTGAGCAAGCGAACGACCCATCCCAAGGAACAATTCGGTACGTATTGTTCATCCAACAGCAGTCATAGCCACCTGTTGATCTGACAAGTCGCGCCGTTGGCTACCAGCGAAGCTCCTCTTGCGTTCCGCACGATCGTTGTTTCTCGTCCACAGAAGTTTGCCGTCCCAGGCCAGAGTAATCTTCGCACGTGCAGTTGCGCCTAGAAATTTTGGCGTGATTGGATGAAGACACCGTAGAGCACAAAGAAAACAGAGGATGTCCAGACATTAACAAACCGTCCACCTCCAAGCGTATTGGGCAGAGAATTGACCCATCAGTATCCGAATGTCACGTGCACTACATGTTCTCGGCAGTGCCCATTCCCTGCCCTGAGGTTGAACAATTCGTATCAACTCACTGTCAAGCCCTGGTTGTCTACTCATTGACACTAGTCCAATACTTACAGGTTGTACTGTAAAAGCTCATGCAGAATCAGAATGGTGCCAGAAGCCTTACTTTCCTATACTATTCCACAAACTCTGGCTTCTGTTTATTTCTGAACTAATACTGCATTATATCACTCTTGTGCAAGATGCCTGTCATGAAGTACACCATTTCGGTGTACTGAATGGTAAGATCGAGATAATTACAGGTACTGAAATGAATATCACGGCTCCTCCGCAAAGATGGAGATCGAAAGGCGTGATACTGTTCTAATAACTTCTATGCAGACGTTTCGGGGCCATTGCTTATTAATAACATCTCGTTCAAGATTATTCCGCGTCTCGTGGTATGATTATTTTCCCCGATACGTCGAAGAATGTCAGTATCTGAACGTCCGGTTTTCACAGGATACTATGTCGTTTGTATCGACTACTTCATTGACGACCCTTACATCCACGACTGCGAGCAAGGCTTCGACAGACCCACATGGATGGCAAGGCAGATGAAACGAGCCGAAGTGGTTCCGAGTTACCAAGGAGAGATACGGTGTGTAGACGCATTAATTTCAATTATTATTATTTGTCATATATGTTAAATTACTATATAGGCCAAGGAACGAAATGCTTCGCCGTTGGTGAGTTCTATAATAGCAATAACATTCTTTAGTCTAACGACCATGTTTATTCATTACCCGATAAACCAAGGTTACCTTTTCGGAGCCCCTTACGTCCTCGAAGCAGGGTCAACTGGAAAAACAGTCGCAGGTATGTACTTTTTTTTGCACAGTTGCAATGACATCTAGACCTAAATTTTGTCTGCGCCCCCTCTCAGGCGCGATTACTCATCCAGCGTTCCTGACCGAGAAACACTTCTTCGATGTAACCGGTACGCCTCTTGTCTGTTCATCCGGTCAACAAAGCTGATGTTCTCTTGTCGTGATGCTCCTTAGCGCCACTTATTTTATCATGCTCTGGCAAGTGGAGATATCGTTCGACCATTTCGACTTCCTACGATTGGAAACCCTTTGTCTCCATCCATACTTACTCATTCTTCATTAGAAACTTCCCGCACAAAATTGACGAACTAACACACACCTAGAAGTAGACCATACATTCCCGACGGACTTGCGCCGCCGCGCTGAAGATATACTTGTTGGGGGGAAGCACGATTACCATTTCCAAGTTTTTGGCGGTGTATCTCACGGCTTCGCAGTTCGAGGAGACCTGAACAACAGCAAAGAGAGTTAGTATCATATACACGCTCTAAAAGATCCATATACTAAGTAAATTATATTACGTTCAAATAGGATTCGCTAAGGAAGAGAATGCGAGAGGTATTATTGCTTGCTTTGATCATTCCCGTAGCAATGTTCATGTATTGTATAAGGATAGGTATGATTGAACGAGTTCTTACTGTGCCTTATATGCTGTTTGTATATAAATATTAAATACAGATATACTGACCATTTGATTCATGTATTTGTCTCATGTATAATCAGAGTGGCTCGCGGGATATAATCGAACCGATCAGATGCTCTTTCAGTTTTAGTAAGTCTGGTTGGACCAAAACCAAAGCTATTCGCCATGAAATTAATAAACATCTTTCGGCATAATCTACGGATAAAATCAGGATTAATATTGACAACGCAGTGCACGACTCTATTGCTTTGTACTTTGTACTGAACGTGCAGCATGCTTGTACGTTATGAAGGATATTGTTACAGATCATCTATTGGACCAGAAATGAATAAAATCTTCAAGGGGGAATGTGCACAGATGATTTAGCACACCAAACCACATAATGAATAATTGAAAAATACAACGTCCGGAGAACAAACAAATCAGAAAATGGTTATGTGTATGGTCCGATAAAAAACACTGCTCTGGCTAGACCACCAGCGAAAACATGAAAGAGGTCAAGCAACAAGAGGTTTGCTCAACTAAACTGCGGAATGAATGATACCCATTTCACTTCGGTATAAGCATTAGCAGGTAGACTCCGGAATGAATACGCGATGAGTATAATAAGATGAACCCGTGCCACTGCATACACTGAAAAGAAGGCGGAGAAGAGTGTATGGAAAAATTTGTATCGAAGTGATTCCTTGTCATTGCCTTCAATCACAAGAAATGAAGAAAAAAATGCAGGGCATCCTATTAGGACTATACAGCAGAAGCGCCAAATCAGTTGACCATTCGTATCTGGGAAAGTTGCATTCCATGCTGCACAATGGATTCCGCCGAATACAGCTCCAAAGAATGATATTGTACCCGGGAGCGCGTCTGTAAAATCCACAAGTTAGATTACTAGCGTTAAACGGTTAATTAGAATGCTACAAACATCCGTCGAAGTCTTCCTTAGACAGGAAAGTTACAACGGCTTCGAGACCCACAACTACTCGTGAACGTAGCCCATTCTGTGTCCCAGGCTTGGAATCCTCCTTCAACAAAGTAGGCTCCTGCCCGGAATTGCCAAATCGCACCTCGATGGGCTCGTATATGCCATACGGCTTCATCAGGAAAAAGTCAGATTTCTTGTAATTTCTTATAGACTTTGTAAAGTAACATATGTATTGTATATACATTATAAAGTAATTATAAGGCTTGTAATTGAATTGCACTGTTTAAATAAGACATATTAATGTATATAAAGACTACATAAGTACTAGGGATGAATAAAATCTATTACATGTATTATACTAACTTTGTATAACAACCTAAAGTGTTATACTTGTATTATATTTAAATTATAATCTTAAAGAAAGAGTTGTATTTATAATATAATAATGTAATAATTACTATTGTTACCTTATAATTTATACAAAAGGTATATTAATGTATATTATACTTAGATTGTTTATACAAGTAGTGTCAGCAACAGTGTAGAGGGGACCCAAAGGCTCAGCAAGGGGACCCAGGCTACAACTATCCTACACAACAGAAATACAGAATGCAAGCACTAGAACATAGTCAGAACTTGCAGAACAGGCAGAGAGAGTGAGTGAGACAAGAGTAGGGTATATAGAGTGAGCCTAAGAGTACAGGACTACCTGGAGTAGACAAGATCAAGACTACAGGACCAGTCTGATCTTGTACACCTATATATACTAAACTACACAAGAGTACTCAGGGAGTATGAGCCACTTAAGAA